GTTGGGTTGTGTTGAGTTGTTTTAGCAAGTGATGTGTTGTGTTGTTTTGTGTTGGGTCGTGTTGTGGTGTGTTAAGTTGTGCTAAGTTGTGTTGTGCTGTGTTTTGTGCTGTGCTGCTGTGCGGTTCTGTGTTGTGTGTGTGTATGCAATGCAATGCAATGGAATGCAATGTAACGTAATGAAATGTAATATGTTGTAAAGTAATGTACTGTAATGTCAATGCAAGTGTAATCGTGATGTACTGTGATGCCATGTAATGGAATATAACGGTATGTAACGTAATGGTATGTAGTGCAATGGTAAATGGTATGCAATGGTATGCCATGGTATGCAATGGTATGCCATGGTATGCAATGGTATGCAAGGCAGTGCAGTACAGTGCAATGCAATGCACCGTAATGTAATGTAATGGAATGTAACGGGACGCCGCATTTGTATGCTGCATGTCAGCGTCTAAAAAGAAGTGGAGAAGATTGCCCAAAAGAGAGCTGATGCAACTGGAACTCTTCTCCTCAACCAAGACGACGCGATGAAACGCAAACAGCCGCCGCAACTTTCCACCCATCAACACTATGCGCCTCCATCAAGACACCCATCCCTGCATTGCTGGGTTGATAACCCTTCACCTACGAAATGCAACCTCATGATTTTCACCCCTTCGCTAGACCTGTGGCTTAGGAGTGACTAAGTGGCACCCGGCACTCTTGGCGCCTTCCGCCTTCGAACTCGCTGGGTTTGACCCTCCTTGCGAGCTTGCGTGTCGCGGTGTCGCGCTCACAAATCCCTAAGTGGGACAGTGTTTCCGGCACGGAGTCGCTCGGAATTCAGGAAACTCCCTAGATTTGTCAGAACGTAAGAAAGCTGGCAGAGTGCTCTGTCACACCCCCAACTCCTTGACACCGCATCTTTGAGCAATTCGACAGGGTTTAATTGCCAAGTTGTGCCATCTGTGAGAAAAAGGGTCATGAGAGAATTATTCGAAGTGCTTTTCGTGCATCATCCGTCGGCACAAAAATTAGAGCAGCTCGGTTCAGCAACGCCTTCTAACAACTTTCTCCAGATGGCCTGCCAAACTTCCCAAGACTCTGCGTCCTCAGAAAGCCGATTTGATTTCCTGAATACACTTTGTGCCCACAACTGTTGACACGGGAACTTGTCCAGTCCCTGAAAGCATGAACGCAAATGTGTCCGGCTGTCTTGCTTTTCCAGACATGTGCCCCCCGCCGAAAAAGATTTGTTATGTTGAACACGGCGCCGTCGTGAACAGCCAACGTGGGAAATATGCAATCGCCTTTGCATGGCTACTCAACATGTACTGTCTAGCAAAAAGCCAAAAGTCAATGCTGTAGCGACGGCCTTAACGTCGCCCTTCTCTCAACCGCTGTCGGAAAAACACTGCAATGAAGGAAACACTGCGCAAAGCTGATTTGGAGGGTCACACAAACCTTTTGGAGCCAGTGAACTCCAGTCCACAGTGGAAGTGGGGTCCTCCGCACAGTCAGTCCACGATGTCCTCAAAGAAGGACGGTGACTCTTGCAGAAATATAGCGACATATGCAGATCTGCATGTCACTCCTCTCTAGATGCTGAGTGAGCGGCCACTGGGATACTTGGCAGTCAGCATTTCCACAGGCGGGGAGAGAGCAAGGCATCGTCTGTCACAAATCATTACAATGGCCATCACCAAATATCAAATGGACACGAGTTGCATCTAATCAGATGCTCATGGCCTCTTTCACTTACTTCCCGCCTCAAGAAGAACGTCGGCACAAACGTCTCCACCATGAGCAGCTTCCTGGGCACAATCACTCAATCAGTTTCTCCCCGCCCTTCTGGCCAGCCGGCCTGCTCAACTCGGCGCAGGCGCGTGTGGCGGCCCTCGCCGCAGGTCGCGCTGCAGCTGGTCCACTCCTGCGCTGCGCTGGCATGACTCACAGCCCACCCAAACGAACAACTTCCCCACGTCTCGATGCGCCGGTTGCGCGGTTGCCCGGGGCCCTGACCCGCCAGGGGCTGAACAGGCACGCCACGGGCTCGTGGCCCGCACCACAGGGCCTTGTGGCCACTTGCCCACTCCGACCCGAAGCGCCGAAAGTGTCTTGGAAACAGGTCAACTCTGAGTCAACTCAAATATATCTTGTTTGGGAAGGGGCGGCAATAAGACAGTTACTCGGCATGTAGACGGGCGCCTGGAACCTTTTTAACAGTTTGATGACTACGCGCCTCGTCAGCTTCGTTGGGCCTTCGCAAGGCTTGCCTGCAGAATGCTTCACAATTCGCAAAGCGCGTACACACTGCCAGCAACGCACTGGCCAAGTCAGACTCTCTCAAATCTGAGGACCCCTCGTTGGGATGGATTCACAGGAAACGAGTCCAAAGTTTTGTCACAGCGGCCTGTATTGGAGGGCGGGTGAAGCACTGAGCGCGACCTAATGGATTGGTCGGCAGCTGTCTGGCACACGGTCCACTGTGACCTGACAGTGTTGCTGCGCTGAAAATGTGCAAACTCTCATGCACCAGGGCCCTGACCACTGAGAGAACATACAATCCGAGACCTGCGGGCACTCCCTCAGGAATTCGCTCCCTCTCAACTCTCCCTCCTCTTCCCTCTTTCTCTCTTCCCACATGACACCCTCGCAGCCGCAAGAGAAAGGCGGCCTTCTCAACGCACTTGTCCTGGACGTATGGTTGGGACTCGATCATTGCTCCGGCGCATGGCCGTCCACACCTGGCATATTTCCAGAGCTTCCCAAATCAAAGGGCTTTCAAACATGGACTGGCGGAGGGTGTCCTGTATTTGTGCTTTCAGCTTTCAGTCTCCTCTTTCAAAAGGAAGACTGCAAAAATGGCAACTTCAGAAACAAACATGCAATTTGGTGACGTTTGCGTGAGAGAATGTACAGCACACCCGAAAAACAAGGCAGGCCGGCTCGTTGTTTGAGACCGCTTTGGATCTCTCACGGAATCGCAGCCCAATACCTCGTGACCAGCAAAGCAGGCACGGGAACACAGAGTACCGGCCGGCCAAACAAAACACGGAGTACAGGAGCTCACCACAGTGAAGCGTCTGAGCTCACCACATCCGCCCGCATCGTACCAAGCATTCCACTCCGAAAAGACACAGTCTTGAGGCTGGCAAATCGAGCACGCCTGCCACAGGCAATGCGCCGATGCTCAGTCCCGACCCTTCACTAAGCTTCCCGCTGGCAGTGGCTCGCAAGCCCCAACCTGCAACAAGCCACGTTGCACACAAACAAACCCGTAACAACGGCATGTGTTCCATGTCACGGCCGGGTCAAGGCCTCTTCATCATAGCCTTGACAGGAGTGGTGAGCCAGTCTGCGAAGCGGAGCCTGAGAATCGCGCCAAATCAGGGCAGCATGACTTGCCGTTGCCATGCAACCCGAACCCTGGCCAACTGAGGCATGCACTGCAGCACGAGTGGCGGTAAAGGATAAGAGAACTATCAGCACATGAGCAGCCATCCTTCTGGCATACTCCTATACAATTCAAAGGGCTAGCTGAAAACCTTTGAGCCCCTTCCGCACCCAAACCTTGGTCAACTCTGCCCGCTCCCAATTTGCTCCTGCTTGTCAAGAACGGACTGAGTCCGCAAATGGAGAATGTTCTGCGCTTGCACCCATCTTTTTCACGAGGACAAGAGGAATTCCAAGGCTTCACAGCTATCATGTCCATAGATCTTGCTATGCGGATACCAGGCAGAGACAACACAGGCTCCTGAGAAATGGCCCCTCAGAAGCCATAGAAATCGAAGTCCCTGTCCTTCTTCTTGGCATGATCCTTCCATCCAGCCTCAAAGTCCTTTGGCAGGATCACGTAGCGGTTGTGTCGGACCGCTTGCATGCCAGCCTCCTGGCAAATCGCTGCAATGTCCGCACAGCTGATCTTTTCAGGTCGGGAGACATAGTCTTCCAAGTCAACCTCCTCGCTGAGGTTCATCTTCGATGTGATGGTCTGGAAGATCAATCGCTTCTGGCGCCGGTCTGGGAGAGGGAACTCAATCTTTCGGTCAAGGCGGCCAGGCCGCAGCAATGCCGGATCCAGCGTGTCAGCTCTGTTGGTTGCCATGATGACTTTCACGGTGGTGTCCTGGTCAAAGCCGTCCATCTGGTTCAACAGCTCCAGCAGGATGCGCTGGACCTCTCTGTCTGCACCAGTCTGTGAGTCGAATCGCTTGGTACCAATGGCATCAATCTCATCGATGAAAACGATGGAGGGAGCATTCTCGCGTGCCAAGCGGAACACATCTCGGACCATCCGCGGTCCCTCCCCCAGGTACTTCTGCACGAACTCCGACCCGACCATGCGAATGAAGGTGGCCGTGGTCATGTTTGCCACCGCCTTGGCCAGCATCGTCTTGCCGGTGCCGGGTGGGCCATAGAGTAGAACTCCACTCGGGGGATCGATGCCAATCTGGGCGTACAACTCCTTGTGCGTGAGGGGCAGCTCCACCGCTTCCTTGATCTCCTGCTTCTGGATGTCCATGCCGCCGATGTCTGCATAGGTCACGTCCGGCTTCTCAGACATGGCCATGCTCTGAACAGTGCTATCCGCCTCCGGTGGCAGAATGTCAACCACCGCATGCGAGTGCCTGTGAAGAGCCACCGAGCTGCTTGGCTTGAGAAGCTCCCTGTTGAGGGTGCTCAAGATCCGGACAAAGTAGTTGGAGCCTGCTGTTGATGACACAATGCCATGGCTCTGGTCAATCATCTCTGAGAACTGGCCGATGACGAGGGGCACCGACTGCACTCGCTTAATCTCCTCCTGGGCGCGAATCATTTCCCGCTTCAAGTTCTTCATTTCGTCTTTGATGTACTCCTCCTGAATGTCCAGAAACTCCATTTGCCTCTTCAGCTCCTTCAACCGCATGTACAAGTCATCCTCACCCTTGGAGGTCAACTCTGTTTGCTGCACCATCGCAGCTATTGGGCAAGCTTGCGCGATGCCGGATGTACCGAATTGGTCTACCACTATACCCTCCAGCCCAAATACAACATGGCCTTGATCAAGCTTCATGGGCAAGTTGGCCTTGCTGTTTCAAGTGAACAATTCTGTTTGGCGTAGCATCGGTCTCATTCAATAGTTGCCTAATTTGGAGGCTGCCATGCTCAGCGCAAGCAGAGTTTGGCACGTGTGTCGCGGCCTTGCCAATCAAGCACAAATTGTGCTTGACTAGTCCGCAAACAATGCAATTGCAAAGAATCTAAGGATAGCGGGAGTTGCTGATTAATGTCCACTGTGATCGTCGGCCCATTGCTGTTGAATGAACACGCCGAATGGGTCTGGGCATGGTCAACATCTTTTGACACGCTAAATTTTGGAAGTTTGATAACGAATCTCAAAAAGCCACAGATCCCAAACGCGTCTCCCACACGTGGAGAAAATGTTTGCCGCCTGATTACTCTGCCATTCCCATTTTGCACGGGTTTGTTGCCTGCGACTCTTGTAATATTCAAACGCCGCTTGATCAATGCTGAAACATGCACTTGCGTACAGCTTTAAAGTAAAACCATCAAATGCAATCATGTCGCAACAAACAAAAAGCCGGGATGTGTTGCAAATTAACGCTTTGACATCGGCCTCCGTTTTCAAAAAATGCAATCACGTTCATGTCAGGATCATTGCGACCGTCGGTTGTTCCATTCTGCACCAAATTGTGTTGGCAAATACCACTCTTGGTGCACCCAATGGGCTTCAACTGCAATGGCGCCCTGATTTTCCATTCCGCTCAATTGCACCTAGTCGAACGTCCAAAATTAAATGCGGGGGCCCCCCGCTTAACGTGTGCCGTAATCGTTGATCCCCACCCCAATGCCATCAGTAGGGCAGGGCGGGCCAAGAAAAGTCAACAATGAAAAAAGAATGCTAGAACCCTGTTCACTCCTTCAAGCCTACACTAGACATGTTATAAAAAGAAACCAACGAAAGCATGCAAGCGCACGCATCTTCTTGCTATCCGGCGTTTCTCAGAGGTGCAGGCTCTGGGAGATAGGCCAACATGCGCGTTCGACCCACACACTCTGCATCCCACGCGGAACCTGTGTACGTACCCCCTGGCCAATCAAGGCGAAGTTCATCACATCTATCCGCCGCGCCGTAGCTTGAAAAGAAGCCTGACTGATACGTGTGCATGACTTTCATCTTAATAAGAATTTTCCAAGCTTAACTTTTTTGTTCAGGGTTAAGGCGACGAGTGGCAAAACTTATAAGCACAGCACTCTCATGGGCGGCGGCTGGAAGCCAATGAGCGTCTGCAAGAATAGCTGCTGAATGTCACCTCTGTCAACCTTCTAGCAAGCATGGGCAAAAAGCTCATGCTACATGCAGTTGAACGTGTCAGCATCTCCTGCCTGGAGGGTGCCTGGGGAGAATTGTATGGTCGTGAAGCTTGAGAGTGCCGTAAAGGAGTTTGAAGTGAGTGGCATTGCAATGGCCCCAATTTGAAGCTGGCGCTATTGCGTTGCATAACGGGACAGGACTTTGAGGCAGCACACCAATTTGATTGTAAGGTGTTTTCATACACTAATGTGAGGAATCAGGCGCTGGGATTCTTCGCAAACAAAATGGCATTAAAGCTTTGGGATGTGGCATCGCAATACCAACTGGCGTCCGGGAAGGTAAGTCACGATTCGTTTGCGGATGTAGGTGGCTGAATCGAAAAGTGAAGGAATTTCGCTCGCAGGTGTTTAGATCGCAGGCGTTGGTTTGGACTTGCGCACAATCGCAAGTCGCTTGAATCTTTTGTCGTTTGAGGCGCGCCGCATTTGCCGCGCGGTGCTAGCTTAGTGTTTAAGGCGGGTTTTTTTAGAGTGCGTGCAGTCCGACGCGCCAGTGGCAACGGCACGAAATGTAAAAGAAAGTTTCGGGAGGTTGTCGGGCCTACCGTTTTTTCACCGTTTGGCAGTCCGACTGCTGTTGCTCTCTCTTTAAAGGGGATTCTCCAAACGAGTTTTGACTCGTCCGTCCAGGAAACGACCTCGTCCTGCGAAGAATCCGACAGCTAAAGTGCTGCAGGGAGCCCCGCGCCTGCACTTTATCGACTCCTCGATATGCAATTTGCCCCGTAGCTGCGCTTCTGCAAGGCGAGCTAAAAAACAGGGAAAAAACAAGGGTTCCCCGACCGACGACCGACCGACGACCGACGACCCGACCGACGACCGGCGACGGCCTAAAACCCGACACCGTGAGAGTTTTCCGACGTGCCCTTTTCCAGGATTCCAGGGGGCACTTCGCGAAATCCGCAATGTTAAGGCATGTTGCACTGCTCCTAGCTTGAACCCAAACAAGACCACCCAAAAGAACAACGCAAGTCCGAAGCGGCCGCAGTTCTTTTTACGGGATTGCTGAAAGTACGGGCGCGCCTGGAGCCGGAGGTGCGTTGACCCCCCCTTCAGTGTTTCAGGCAACCCCGGTATAAGCGAGCCAGCTGGGCCGCCGGCCTCATCACCCCCCCTTTAGAGTGGGGTTGTACCTGGCAGGGCAAGTGTCCGCATGACATTGCACACGCTTGGTTGTGAGCATCCTGTTGCTCAGGGACCGCTCTTTTTTAGTCCAAGCGGCTTGATGTCAAGCTGCTGGCCGATGCAGCCAGGCATTCTGGTTGCCAGGGCGAGGTTGGCTATTGGGTCGCAATGCATGTTGGGATGCAATAAGGCTCGGCTATGCACTGCTGGAGGCAGCTGCCAGATGTTCCGGGCGCCAGGGCGCATCTATCGGACACAGCTGAATGCCTCTGCCTGACAGTGCAAGACCCGCAGGGCTGAAGCGTACGCGACTCTCAGCGGGCCAACCGACCTTTGCTGAGGTCGTCTGCCCAGTCATTGCTCCTTCCCGGAACGTGTGTTGGCTGAAGCAGCACGTTGTGCGCGTGAGCCCAGAAGGCTGTTAACTGCACGAAGAGTTGCAACGGCCAGGAGGTCGTGAACATTTTGTTAAGGCTTGCTTCCGTTGCCGAATTGTCAGTGCCTGAGGGCATGCTGAACGAGTAGTGCCCACCACCAATATGGCTGTGGGTAGCTTGCAACAGTGCCAACTGCGCCAGCGTCTCGAAGCATGCGATGTACCGCTGTCCAGGCTTGACAAGGCAGGGCCATACTGCCCGTATGTCCTGCATGTTCCAGGTTTCGGCAAACTCGGAAGGCAAAGGCCTTGGCTTGGGCAGCTCGTTGGGGACGGCCTCCTGCTTTGCTGGCAGGGCGTCGCATGGCAATTCTGGTGCGGCTGGCCACTGCGGGTCCGAGGGCGAAGGTCTTGGCTTGGGTACCTCATTTCGGACGGTCCCTTTTGCTGGCAGGGCATCTCTGGCGCGGTTGCCGTATCTGCCGGCGGGGCGTCAGGAAGCAGCTCGGGCGCAAGCTGGTCGGCCCAAGGCTTCTCACTCTTGCTGAAGGGCTGATACAAAAAAAAATCAGCCCGGTTGGGATTGAAGGGATTCACTAAGGGCGGTTCTTCTGCGCAGGGCTCTGGAGATTCCTGCGTGGATGTCCCTTCAGGCGGCAAGGTTGAAGACTCGTCAGTGGGCGACAAGGATCTCGAGGCCGCCCGATCACGCAGGACTGACAGCATGGCAGATAAGGCGGCTTGGTTCTCCTCTGTCACGCTGGAGACTATGCCTGGTCCGGCATGCCGAGGGCGAGAGAGTGGGGCCAGGCAGGAGCGTGGCGTGAAAGCACACTGCTAAATGGCTGCGAACACGATGCAATGGCGGCAAAACAAGTGCGCAAACAATTCTGCAAGTCTGGGGCACGTGGTGACAGGGCTGCTGGAGGCGAGCAGCACGAGCCTGTCAAGCACGCCAATCCAGGGTGTTGATTAAGCATGAGTGTGACACACATGCAGGACCAAGGCTGCGGCAGAATTTTAATGCCTGAGTTGACTCGCTCAATGTAGGCATGAACAAATGCGCAAAACTGCTCTTTTTAGTCCTGTGAGCCTTGTGAAGTAAGGTCCACTGCGTGGGTCTCCAAGGCTGGCAATGCGGGCAATGCCATCTGAAGGCGCGCAATGATGAATTCGAGGTTCAAGGCTCGATAAACCAGCATTCAAAAGGCTGGTTGTTTTGGGAGCAGCGCAGGCATGCAAAAGCGAGACTAAGGCGGTTTCAGAGCGCTCATGCCAGTGGTGCTGCAATGCGAAGTTCCTGAAGTTAGGATCACTGGCAGCTGTCAGAAGGCCTCTGGCTGCCCGGTCATGAAAGCAGGCCGTAGGCTTGCTCCAATCAAACGCGGAGCGAACTTGGTTAGGCTGTTCACCGTAAAGACCTGGCTCTGGTTTGCATAGGATATGACAAACGTGCACAGTGTCAAAAGGCGGGCAAAGTGCACTGAGCCCTCGTGAAGGCCAGTACGCATGATAATGAAGTCCAAGTAAAGGCGAAGGTGATTCCTCGGCCCTGCTGCTGAAGCGACGGCGGAGCCGACGACATCACGCTGGCCACCCTGAGCGAGGTGCTGCTCCAACAGCCAGAGCTCCGTGGCCTCAGCCAGCTTCACAGTGGGAGGCTTTGAGCTGGAGGGCTAGACTTCGCCTGGAACATTGTGCGCACCTACACCCTGACGCCGGGGAGACGCTACTCCTTTGGCTGCCGGTGCCGGCTGGGCACGGCCTCCAACTTGGTGATGTACGTCAGCGCGGCCGACAGTGGGCGTCACCGGCACCGTCCTTGCCACGGCCGCGCAGGGAGTCTGGAGCCTGGACTTCTCGGTGCCGCCGGGCGGAGTCGCGAAGCTGCACTTTGGCGGGTCGACGCTGGACCTACGGACCTGCTGGCCAACTCGCTGGCCCTCACAGGCTCGGCCACGCTGGACGGGCTCACCGCGCAGGGCAACGTGGGCTGCGACCAGCTGCTGTGCAACGACGTGAACTGCACGGACGTGTTCACGACGGGCGTGGACGCCTCGGGCACCATTTCCTGCCACCAGCGCCGTGTCCGGAGCCACGCTGACGTCCGCCGGCGCCGTCTCGGGCAGCTCGCTGAGCA